AATATTTTTTTGCTTTCTAGTTCACTGGAAATCCTGCGATTCAGAAATGTGGGTTAAAAGTCATGTCTTCCATTGCACATTTCCCCGAGGCACTGGAGCTGCTATCCCTGGGCGGGGCCCTTGATTTAGTGCTTCACACTCTGCAGATGTATCCAGATGACCAAGGTTGGTACCCAGGAACCACAGTTGATTTTTGTGCACTGCTTGCTTTTGTCCTCAGGTCTTTATTTCTGAAGACCTGAAGTTTGAAATGATTGATTCTGTTTTGTTTTGTTTTTTTTTCTTCTTATTGCTCTAGAAATCCAGTGCCTGGGTTTAGGTCTCATAGGATGCTTGATTCCAAAGAAGAATTTGTGCCTAAAAGCTGCGCATCTGGTGGCCAAAATTCTGGTTCACAGTTTACAGCGATTTAAAGATGCTGCTGAAGTCCAGATTAAGGTACGTGTGTTTTCAGGAAGGGGATTTGGGACCGTGTGCTGAGTCGTGTGTGTAATTCCCACTTAGCATTTGGATATTCTAGTTAATTAAAAACCATTTATCATTTTGTAGTATTTTCATTATAGAAGGAGAAGAGAACTGGATTGACTCTCTAAAGATCTGGAGTTTCATTATTGGATCTCCCAAATCAGCAGCTTGTTTGCCATTTGTCTTTTCAGTGAAAATATGCTAACGCGATTCCAGTTAGCTGAGTGTTTTTTTACTTAGATTTTAGATAACAGCAAGTTATAATTATTCCAGAGTTTGTCATTCTCTGTTCTACGTGGGTTGCTTATGTGTAGTCATTTCCTTCTTGATTGTTTCCTGCAGTGAAGCCATATTTTAAAATGTTTTTCATCAAGTAGAATTTCAATCATGATATATAGGGTAACTGTCTTTACAAAGGATCCAGAATTGCCGAAGGTTAATGCAAGGGGGTTTAAGAAACACGTCGGATGTTGGTTCAGGGGCCCACCCATGTATTCCTGGCTACTTGGGGGCCTGAGGTGGGAGGGTCACGTAGACCAGGATTGGGGTCCAGCCTGGGTCATGGAGCAGCACCCTCCCCTCACCCCAGCTCTTAAAAAAAAAAAAAAAGGAAGGAAAGAAGGAAAGAAAATTGATCCAGTTCTTTTAAATTAACAAAACAAATAGTCACTTAAAAAATGAATTTTGCCTGGGTTTTAGTAATTAGAGTTTCCATGTTTGGTAAAACACACTCAAACAGACTTTTTTCTTAAATGGTAGCATTAACCAGGAATAAAAATATCTAGCAGATACCTAGTAAAAAACTTTGTATAGATATATAAAGTGTTGAATATATAGCATTCTTAGATTAGAAACAACAATACATATTATACATTTCTTTGCAATAGAGTACCTAATGGTATACTGGTTAAAGCCAAGGCAGTATTGATTTTTTTTTTAATTTTTATTTTTTTTATTTTTTATTTTTTTGGCAGTATTGATTAACAGCAGTCCATGGAGAAGAAATGATTGCATGTAGGGATGGAGCTTTCAGTAACTGGGATTGCTAGGGCAGAGTTTATAAACTGACAGCCTGGAGCTGAAATTTGGCCTCCTACCTATTTTATTTATCCAGGTCAGTGCTGAGCAGTTTTTAATCTGAGGGATGTGCCTTTCACCAGGGCCTTAATGACCAACTCTTCCCAAGCACTGATATTTGCTACTCCGTCAGTCCTAGAAGCAGGCGGACCAAATGTGTCTTACCTTTGCATAAACTAGGGCTCCTTTTCTAATCAAACATTAGTATTTGTAAAAGCTCAGTGTCTTACTAATGCACAGTAGAAATGTCAATATTTAGGCAAATTTCAAAAAATATTGAGGCAATTTCATTCAGATGTTATAGTAGAGATAATTATATTAATAAATTAACCTGCCTGGTGAATTTGCCCATGCCATTTAACAATACTAAAGTCAGAAGTCTCATCTTGAAAATGTGGGGCTGTTCGGTTCTAAATATTATCACTAATCTTCGTAAAGAACTTGCTAAAGAGTATACAGCTCAGAGTACCTTCAGCACAACTTTCAAATGCAATCAGTGTGAGTGAAATCTAGGAAGATATATATTTTTTTCTGTGGTTAAAATTGCAGGATCCATTACAAAAACATTGGGGAAAATGCTAGCGCATCTGGAAAACATATTCTATAATCTTGTAATAAAACAAAAATTACTCTATTGGCCTGATTTTTTAATCCTAATGAATAGCTAGCTTTCATCTCATGTGATTGGCTTCAGACAGGATGTTGTACGCTAAAGTTTAGGGAGTGTTTTTCCTGCTTTGGAGATTGTTTGTTAAGTAGCATGTGTTCTCTGCTTTTTGTGCGTTGCATGGTACTAAGAGAGGAAGGCATATTTACAGGACTGCTTCAGGGTTCACAGTTGCCTAGCACAACCCAACATACATATCTGCCTAGTGAAGTGAATATCCTAGGTATTAAGTATCCTATACAAATCATCTTTTATAGTCTTTCTTCCCTTTTGTCCATAATGATCTATGTTGTTATTTTTGGATTTCCTTTCAGGGATTCCAGACAATCCTGGCAATTCTTGAATTGTCAGCATCTTTTTCCAATCTGCTGGTGCACCATTCGTTTGATGCAGTAATATTCCATCAGTTGTCTTCCGGCATCACTGAGCAGAAGGATCGACAGGTACAGTGTTTTTCTCGCTCGGGAGGCAAGTTGACGCACGTGGCTGCCTCTGATTTTCATTTCCACGCTTTCTAGTTTCTGAGCCTCTGCTGCAAGTGCCTTGCGAAGTTAGCTGTGGATGAGGAGTCAAAGAGCATGATGCTGAGGAGAGCCTGCGACCAGAGCAGCAGCGTCATGGTGGAGTGCCTGCTCCTGCTGGGCGCTGACGCCAATCAAGCAAAGGAGACGACACCTCTGATCTGCCAGGTGAAAATTCAAAGCATATTTTGATCTTTTCTCTAATATTTGGCCTCCTCATTGTGCAGCTCTCCTCCTCTTTTTCTCCTGCGTATTTCTTGAGGCATAGGTCATGCATACATCATGTGCTTTGTACGTTGAAAGTATACAGTGTAGCGAGGAGTGGTGGCACACACCTGTCGTTTCAGCTACGCAGAAAGTTGAGATAGGAGGATCTCAAGTTTGAACTCTCTTTTTATCTCTGTGTGTCTGTCCGTCTCTCTCCCCAATGAAGCTCTGTAACCCTCAGCAGCCGTTCGTCATTTCTCTTCCCCACCACCTGTCCTCTCTACCCTTTGTCCTCACAAAGCAACTTACCAACTTTTTGTCTCTATAAATTTGCCTATTGTGGACATGTAAAATACGATTCTTTCTCTTTAACTATAATTATACATCCTTGAGTAGCTTTTCCCCACCACCCCTGCTCTTAAAGGCTTGAGCCTCTAGTAACCACTATTCTCTTCCTAACTTCTCTGAGATCAGTTTTGTGTTACATTTGCCAGTGAAGGAAAACATGTGTTGTCTTTCTCTGCCTGCTGTATTCCATTTAACATGTTCTCAGGGTTCATTCCCATTGTCTTCAGTGATAGCGTTTTGGTATTTTTGTAGTTGAATAGTATTCCATGTGTAGGTATGCTGTGTTTTCCTTACCCCTTCATCTGTTGATGGGAACCTAGACTAATTCCTTATCTTGCTGTGTCACCCAGCTTTCCTATTGCTGAGGCATGACACCTGACAGCCACGGCTTAAAGGGAAAGAAGTTTCATTGGGTTCATGGTTTCAGGATATTTGGGCCATGGTGGGCTAGAGGGCAGAAAGGTCATTGTGGGAGGGTGTGCTGGGGTATAGAAGCTGGGAAGCAGAGCGGGGAGGCAGGGAAGGGTGACCAGGTACATAGACACCCGCATCGCCTCTAGGGTCTGCCCAAACACGCCCACAGGTGTGTTTTCCTAATCCCACAGACGGATCCCAAAGCTGGTCAGGTAGACAACCCACTTCACCTTTGCACTTGGCCATTGTGAATAAGGCTGCCTTCAACAGCTCTATTGTTTTAATCATTTTTCAGTCACCTGTGGGTGTGTCTGGGAAGACCCTAGAGGCGATGCTGGAGTCTATACCTGGTCACCCTTCCCTGCCTCTGTGCTCCATACCCCAGCAGCTCCATGCCAGCACACCCTCCCACTGTGATGTTTCTGCCCTGTAGCCCACCGTGACCTGGATCTCCTGAAACTATGAGCCCAATGAAACCTCTCCTTTAAGCCGTGGTTGCCAGGTGTCATGCCTCATCATGGGGATGTGGATATCTCTGATTCTATTTCATTTTTGTATTTGAATCTTGCTGCAATGTGGTACGCACTTCCCTGATGATTAATGACGCCAAACATTTTGTGTGTACCTATTTGCCTTTTGCATATCTTCTACTGAGAAATGTTGTTGGAGGACAACCTTTTATTCTGTTAATTTTTACTGGAGAATTTACCAGTTTTTTTTTTTTTTTTGATTGTTTGTTTTGATTTGTAGTAGGAGTCCAGAGTCACCGAATTTCAGAGGTCCTATAGGTGTTGTTGGGTCTGATTCTTCATTTTACTTATTTACTTAGTTATCTACCTTATTAATTGGAGAAGGACCTTTTGCTTTTTCTCTTGGTATGTTACTTGTTCTCTAACCATTCTTCACACAACTCACAACTCTATTGTTTTAATCATTTTTCAGTCATTTTCTCTTTACCAACAGTGTTCTCCTTCTCCTTGTATATGTAGTTATACAATCTCTGTACTACACAGTTTCGGGTGTCATAACATAGACATCCTTTTCTGTGGGCTACTACTGAGGTTGTAAAACACTGTGATTTTTTTCTTTCCTTTTTTCTTTTTATTCCTGAACTGTGTGAAGACAAATCTGACTGTTCTCCTCTTCCATCATATCTAATCCAGATTCTCTTTCCTAAATGAAACCTTCCTCACACTCCAAACCCTTAAGCAAATGTCAGAGTTGCTACTTTTATAAATTCATGGTAATTCATGGCTGTCTCCTGTATATTTTGTGAATTGTGTGAAAATGAAAATATAGCAGTATTCATCTTTTTTTTTAAAAATGTATTTGGTAAGGAGTCTCTTGTTTTCAGCGATCCTCTTGTTTTCAGCCTCCCCAGCACTGGGATTATAGGCATACACCACCACACTCAGACTTGGTGGCAGACTCAGCACACCTGGGGGCAGGGCTGGTGCAGCACATGGTGCCAGGGGTTGAACCCTGGTCCCTGCTCTTGCCTAAGCAAGTGCTTAGTCTGCTGAGCTCTATCACCGGCTCAGCACTGTTCATCTTTATGTTACTCAGAGTATCAGCCTCATTGTTTTATGTAAATATGTATTCGGTAAATATTTATTAAAATGCATTGCATGTATTTCATTTTTTTCTTAGTTGTATAAACTGTAGGCTTTAGAGTAGTATATAGATAGTACTATCTCTATTTCTAGAAATTTAGTAATTCTAACAAAGCAATATATAGCAGTTTAATATACATTATCAAGTAATCAGGGTACTATGTTTTTGAGTGCCTTATTCTTTTATTTTATATTTTTGTCTTTTTTTTTTAATTTTAGGGAAGGGTCTATAGAGTGTTCAGGGTCTTACTACTAGATCGGACTTGTAGTGAACTGCTTGTTTACAGCCTCCCAAGAGCTGGTATTACAGGCGCGCACCACCACGCCCAATCTCAATTACAGTCTCAGCACACCTCGGGGCGAGGCTGGCATGGCAGGCTCGGGGATCGATCTCTGGCTCCTGTGCCTGCTTGCAGGTGTTTTAATCTGCTGAGCTATTTGACCAGACCTATTCTTTTTTTTTTATTTG